GCCCCCAGGGCTTCTCCCTGGGCATGGGCGGACGCTGCCAGCGCAACTAGCCCCCCCCCGGCATAGCCAGGTGCCCCCTGCTTGCCCCCAGCCCTGTGCCGGTTGCACCGGGTGCCAACCAAATAAATCCCTTTCCTGCACTGGTTTCCCTGTGGGTCCCTGTCACTGGGGCCACATGACTGCTACACGGGTCTGCCCCTGTCCCCCCATGAACTGCCCCATCCTTCCCCTTTGTTTCCCACATGGTCACCCTCCTTGCGGGTCTCCATGCACCCCGGTGTGCTGGGGGATGCTCAGCCCAGCCTGCTCTGTGCCCCCCACTATTGCCCCGCTGACCCCTCTGACACAGGAAGACGTGGGACAGGCGGTGGGGGATGAAGCACAGGATTTATTGAGGAAGGTCTCCATGCAGGGGGGACCTAGCAGGAACGGCGGGGCCGGGGCCAGGGCCACCACCCCCACATGCCATGACTGAGCCAACAGGAGTCCCACAGGGCAGGGTCCTCCCTCCAGGACCCCAGGAGAGCAATGTCAGTTCCATTCAGCCCTGCACCCAGGCAGGGACTCACCTCCTCAGGGCGCTGGATGTCACAGAGACCCTCCTGTTCCCCCTCCCCCCCATCTGACCCTGGCCCATGAACTCTCAAACCTTGCAGCTGGGCCCAGGTACCCCTTGGGGTCCCCACTGCAGGCCAGGCTGAGAATTGGGGTGCCTGTGGCAGATGCATGCAGGACGCGTGGGCAGGGGAGGGCTCAGCAGCAGGAGAGGAAGGGTCCTGGTGGAGCTGCTCCACTGGGCACCCTCCCTGTGCTGGGGCAGGTCGCAGGGCAGAGTGGGCAGGGGGCTGCTGCCAGCCAGGCACGGGCAGGCTCTGCCGGGACTGGGCAGGGAGCCTGGCTCGCCCATGCCACAGCTCGGCCTCGGCTACGCTGGGCCATGCACGAGCTGGGGGCATGTGGCACCAGGGCATGAGCCTGCCCACCATTGCATCTCCCTGCCCTGGGCGCAGGGCTCGGGGCTGGGGAGCTTTCTGGGGCTGGCAATGGGTTGGGCAGGGAGCAGAAGCAAGAGCCCAGTGTCATGGGCAGTGCTGGAGGGTGCTGCTGGCAAGGATGCTGCTGCCAGATGGGTCAGGGCATCCAGCTGGGGCTGGGGAGCAGCAACGGACAGCGTGTGGGGCAGGGCTGAGGCAAACACATGGCACCATCGTGCAGATGAAGCGGCTCTGGGGCTCTGCCAGGTGCCCTGGGCAGTGGGCACGCGCACTGGCTGAGCCCACCCCACAGCACCAAGAGTGGGATGCCCCAGGGAGGGGTGTCCAGCAAGGGCTGGCAGTGCCCATGGGCATGGGGCTAAGCCCCCCTCCCCTAGCACTGCCTGGGGCTTTGCCAGTCCCGCTGCTCCCCGATGCATGGCACGCAGGGCGCTGCCGGCTGGGGCTGCCCACGGCAGGGCAAGCTCCTTCGCTTGGGGCAGGAGCAGCAGCGCAGAGCAGCAGGAGGGCTGCGGGAGCCCCT